GTCAGTCACTTTCCTACATACCAGCAAAGGATAGTGAAATTTGACATTTAAAACACAATGTCATTTACATTAGCACCCCCAAAAATGACACACTTAATTATAAATTTAAGAAAGTATGTACAAGATCTCTATAAGGAAAACTATACAAGTGATGAAAATTACCAAACAAAAAGTAAATAAACGGAGAGATAGTCATCTTCACACATAGGAAGATTCAATATTATCAAAGTGGCAATTCTTCACCAACTTCTTCTATTGATTCAATGAAATCCCCCAAAAAATCTCACCAAGTTATTTTGTGGATATCAACACATTTATTCTAAAGTTTATATGAGAGGCAAAAGACCCAGAATAGCAAACTCTATATTGCGGAAGAACAAAGTTGAAGGACTGACACTATCTGACTTATAGACTTATAGACTACAGTAACCGAGACAGTGTGGTACATGCAAAAGAGACAAACAGATCAATCAGATGGAATAGAGAGCCCAGAAAAAGACCTACATAAATAGTCAACTGATCTTTGACAACAGAGCAAGGGCAATACAATGGAGCAATGATAGTCTTTCCAATAAAAGAGGTTAGAACCAATGGATTTCCACATGCAAAAAAAAATGAATCTAGACACCTTTACATACTTCACAAAAATTTACTCAAAATGGATCATAGACCTGGGGCTGGCCCCGTGGCCGAGTGGTTGGGTTTGCGCGCTCCGCTGCAGGCGGCCCAGTGTTTCATTGGTTCGAATCCTGGGTGCGGACATGGCGCTGCTCGTCAAGCCACGCTGGGGCAGCGTCCCACGGGCCACAACTAGAGGGACCCACAACGAAGAATATACAACTATGTACTGGGGGGCTTTGGGGAGAAAAAGGAAAAAATAAAATTTAAAAAAAAAAAAAAAAAAAAAGAGTAATTTAAAAAAAAAAAAAAAAAAAAGAAAAAAATGGATCCTAGACCTAAATGTAAAATGCAAAATTTATAAAACTCCTAGAAGTAGGAGTAAACCTACATGACCTTAACTATGGCAATGACTTTTCAGACACAACACCAAAGGCACAATGCATGAAAAAAAATTGATAAGCTGAAGCTTATTAAAATTAAAGCTTCTGCTCTGAGAAAGTCAACATCAAAAGAATGAGAAAATGAGTCACAATCTGGGATAAAATATTTCCAAAAGGCACATCTGATAAAAGACTGTTATCCAAAATATACAAAGAACTCCTAAAACTCAATAAGAAATCCAACCCAGTTAGAAAATGAGCAAAATACCTGAACAGACACCTCATCAAAGAAGACATATAGATGGCAAATAAGAAGATGAGAAGATGCTCTCCATTATATGCCACTAGAGACTTGCAAATTAAAACAATAGTGAGATAACACTATACATCTACCAGAGCGGCCAAAGTCAAGAACGCTGACACCACCAAATGCTAGCAAGGATGTGAGGCAACAGGAGCTCTCATTCATTGCTGGTGGGAATGCAAACTGGTACAGCCACTTTGAAGGACAGTTTGGCAGTTTTTTACAAAATTAAACATACACTTACCATATGATCCAGCAATTGTGCTCCATGGTATTTACCCAAAGGATCTGAAAACTTATCTTCACACAGAAACCTGCACATGAACGTTTACAGCAATTGTTTTCATAAGTACCAAAACTTGGAAGCAACCTACACATCCTTCATTAGGTGAATGGATAAATAAACTGGTATATCCAGACAATGGAATATTACTCATCACTAAAAAGAAATAAGCTATCAAGCCATAAAAAGGACACGGAGGAAACAGATATGCATATTACTAAGTGAAAGAAGCCAATCTGAAAAAGCTACATACTGTATGAGTCCAAGCACCTGACATTCTGGAAAAGGCAAAACTGTGGAGACAGTAAAAATAGCAGTGGTTTCCAGGAGTTAGGGGGAGGGATGAACAGGCAGAGTGCAGAGAATTTTAAGGGCAGTGAAGCCATTCTATATACTATAATGGAGGATATATATCATTATACACTTGTCAAAATTCATAGAATGTACAACCCCAAGAGTAAACCCTAAGGTAAACTACCGACTCTAAGTGTTAATGATGTGTCAGTGTGGGGTCCTGACAGACGTATCACTGTGACACAGGATGTCAACAGCAGAGGCTGTACATGTGTGATGACAGAGGGTGTACGGGAAATCTCTGTCCCTCCTCTTAATTTTGCTGTGAACCTAAAACACTCTAAAATATAAAGTTTATTCATTTTTTAAATGGTTAACATGGTAAATTTAATGTTATGTGTATTTTACCACAACTTAAATTAAAAATTTAAAAATGAAGGTAATACATTAAAAAACACATGGGTAAAAGATCCACTAAAGTTCAAGATAGACCAATAAATTTTAATATAGCATATTTAAAAAGTTCATTGGTAGGTTTTAGCTTCTGCATTGCAACTAACCTTTACCACTTAAGATTTGGTGTAATATCAAAAGAAGAATATTGGTAATTATCTGAAAAGTCTATCAAAACACTCTTCCCTTTTCCAACTACATAAACTGGATTTTCTTCATATATTTCAAACAAAACATATAGCAACAGACAATGCGCAGGTAGATATGAGAATCTAGTTGTCATCTATTAAGCTAGACATTAAGGAGATTTATAAAAACGTAAAACAATATCCCTCTCTAAATTCTTTTTGTTTTGGAAAATATAGTTTTTATTTTTAAAATGTGTTACTTATGTTAACACATAAGTCAATCCTGTTATGTTTAAGCGAATTAATAAAAATTCTTAAATTTCCATATTATGTGGACAGTGACAACAAAATGAAGTAACATTTGTCAAGGCTTCTAAAAAGGAGCTGGGAGGGGCCAGCCTGTTGGGGCAGCGGTTCAGTTCACGCACTCTGCTTTGGCAGCCTGCGGTTGGCTAGTTGGGATCCCAGCCACCACTTATCAAGCCATGCTGTGCCAGGCATCCCACATAGAAAGTAGAGGAAGATGGGCACGGATGTTAGCTAAGGGCCAATCTTCCTCAGCAAAAAGAGGAGCATTGGCAGCGGATGTTAGCTCAGAGCTAATCTTCCTCAAAAAAACAAATACATAAAATAAAAATAAAAATGGAACTAGGAAGCCATTAAGAGAATGGGACTTAGGCACACACACTACATCTCTACCCAGATAGGACATAACTTTTCAACTGTGCTAAACTGTTGTCATCTTGGCCTTCTGTCAAGAGATACCCTTATTCCCATAGAAAAGAACTTTTTGCCTTAGAGATGGCCTTGGCAACGAATCAGTATAGCCAAGAAGTAACAGTTGTTGCCAGCACAAATCACAAATTTTACAAAACCACCTGTATGATTTCTCTTTTCGCTTTTATAAACCCTTGCCTCTTTTGTCTTCCTTGGAACACATTTTGGGTTTCTACCTGACTCTGTGTCTCCCAAATTGCAACTCTAATTGCCCAAATAAATATCTGCTGTTTGAATTCTAGTGAATTTTTCCTTGGTCAACAATTAATTTCTAATATGATAAATATCGACGCATTTAAGCAAAAATATAAAAGCTCTTTGAGACTTTCAATAATTGCTAACCTCTAAGGAAAAATTCTAAAAAGTTTGAGAACCACTGCATTAAAATCTTTCATGTGGGGGCCGGCCTGGTGGTGCAGTGTTTAAGTTCCCACGTTCCACTTCGGGGTTTGCGGGCTCGGATCCCGGGTGCAGACATGGCACCGCCTGGCAAAAAGCCATGCTGTGGTAGGTGTCCCATGTATAAAGTAGAGGAAGATGGGCATGGATGTTAGCTCAGGGCCAGTCTTCCTCAACAAAAAGAGGAGGATTGGCAGCAGATGTTAGCTCAGGGCTAATCTTCCTCAAAAAAAAAAAAAGCTACATTAAAAAAGGCAAATCTTTCACGTGTTCTGGTGAAGTTTTGTGTGCCCCAAAAATTCATGTTGAATCCCTAATCCCCAACATGGTGGTAAAAAATGGGACCTTGCGGAGGTAACTGGAGTTAGATGAGGTCAGGAAGGTGGCGCCCATGATGGAATTAGCGCCCTTATAAGAAGAGACAGTTTGCGCCGTCTACACACAAAGAGGAGGTCGTGTGAGCACAGCAAGAAGGCAACGGTCTACCAGACAGGAAGAGACCTCACAGAAGCCCCCCCAAGGGCACCCTCATCCCAGACTTGCGGCCTCCAGAACTATGAGAAAATGAATTTCTGTTGTTTACACCACCCGGTCTTGGGTATTTTGTTACGGCAGTCTGAGCTCACCAACACAGCACATAATAGCAAAAGAGACTGGAATCAACCCAAAAGTCCGTTAGAGAGCTGGCTAAATAAATCGTGATGCCTCCAAACCCCGAACGCTCTGCGGAGGGGGGCGGGGCGGGCATTCCAGGACTGAGCGGGACGGCAGATTCGGAACAGCGGACAAAAAGGGAAGGAAAACAACATAGGCAAAAATTTCACTCGCACCCAAACCTCTCCTGATGTGTTTTATAAGTTTGAGGACTCTGTCTACTGTTCTTCGTTTCCCGCCATAATCTATCTCTGTCGGTGTCAGCGGAGCAGGCACTGAATGCTTTTTTGTCGCAGGACAAATTACTGTACGCAGGACAAGCTATTCTGCCGGAACAAACGCTCCTCGGGGACAGTCAGCTTTTTGGTGTCTGGGTGGACTTCTAGAAGGTTCCGGCATGCTTTTGAGCGAAGGAAATTTGGAGGCACTTCTGTGAAGCGCACACGGGCCCACCACGAAGACTGGATTCAAAAGAGCAAGAGCCTCGACCCTGAGCTGGTCACACGACCTGCCCTCTCCTGAGTCCCCTCTCTATCCCGACGCGGCGCCCACACTCGCCGGGTGGCAGGGTGTCCGGACACGAGGAGCCGACCAGCGGGGGAAACCCGGGTTTTTCCCGGAGTTGCGTCACAGTCCGACGGGGAAGGGAGGAAAAGAAGAACCTTCCTCCGCCCCAGAGCGCAGCAGCAGCGTCTCCAGCGGCTTACCAGGTCCAGACGCCAGCGCGCCACCGAGCCCCGCAAGCAGCATCAGGATGCGGAGCATGCTGTGGCTTCCCGGCTCCGTGTGGGAACTGGGCCGCCGACCGTTGGGCCGGCTGGAGGCGGGCGCCGCTCCCGCCGACCCGGGACGCGCGGCCCCCGAGGCCGCCTCCCCGCGCGCCGCTGCGCCGGCCCAACGGTCGCCCCGCCCCGCCCCGAGCGGACCCGCCCCGAGCCGCCCCGCGCCGCCCCGCCCCGCCCCGCCGCGAGCCGCCCCGCGCCGCCCGCCCCCCGCCGCCCGGAACCGCCCCGCGCCGCCCAGAGCGGACCCGCCCCGAACCGCCCCGAACCGCCCCGAGCCGCCCCGAGCCGCCCCGAGCCGCCCCGCGCCGCCCGCCCCCCAACCGCCCGGAACCGCCCCGTGCCGCCCCGAGCGGACCCGCCCCGAACCGACCCGAGCCTCCCCGCGCCGCCCGCCCCGCGCCGCCTCCCGGCCGCCGGCTCTCCCCTCCGTCGCGGTCGCCGTCCCCCGTCCCACTTTCGCCCCGTGGGGACGGACCTAGAAGAACTAACACGCCGACTGTGCGCTGTTTTGTCTCAGGCACTTCCATGTGCTTTAAAAGGCGAACGTGTAATACTTTCTGCACTGAAAATATACCCACGCACGCTCGCACACAAATATACATGTTCATTATTACTGAAGCTGGGTTTCTCAAATTAAAAAACAACTAACCAGATGTGTGAAGAAGATTCCAAGAAAGGGAAAACTGAGTAGATTTTGCTCTCCTTGGAAAGAGCCTGCTACGGCTTTCCTCCAGACCCACTTGCCCAAACGCACTTTGTGACCAGGCTGTGTCTACTTTTTCCTCCCATCGACCTGGCTCTCCACGAGCCCTCGGCTAAAATTCATGGGTTGCCATTCTCCTGTTCAGTAATTTCTCCGGACAAGGAATATTCATTCACTCACGCAGTGAATGAGATGCACGAGATTCTTGCCCATAATTACAGTGTGTATGTTCCACTAGAGAGTTCTAGCCAAATTCCTCAGCAGAGTATTCAGTTTTCTGAATTCGGAGCGCAGGCTCTGCGGCCCGCTTTCTCCTGTCCCCAGGGCTCAGCCGCCTCGACCTCGGGTCTCTCCTGAGTGAACAGCGGCTCATGCCCTGGGGCTGCAGGGCCTCCTCCCTCCCACCCTCACCCCCAGTCTCACCTGTACACACCATCTTTTGTTTCTTTTCAAATCCCAAAGCACGAATTCATCCCTCATACTAATTAACAGAAAAGCAAACACGCAAACTAACAGGACCCGTGGGAACACAGAAGCTCACTTGGGGAATCACATCCAAACTGACAGCTGGGATGAGATTTCATGGATGCAGAGGATTTCGGCAGGGCAATCGCAGCCTGAAAAGCAATAGCGTGAGCAAAAACAAGGCAACAAAAATATACACTTAGCTAGTATCTCAACAGGAACAGCCAATGCTAGACTAACACTGCTTTTAAGTAGTTGAGCCAAAAGTTGGGTTCAGAGTATTAGAAGAACAATTACAGTAAATGCTTAGACTTGTCAGTTAGCGGTGTTTTGAATGAATTTCTAGTCCTTTCCTTTCTTCGTTACTTCCCTCTCCTCAGCCTTTCCTGTCTCAATCTTTAATAGAGAAGATTTTATATTATTTTTACTTGTGTATATAGCCCTTTCTGTAACAGGATGCATGTCCCATCCAGAACTTAGATATCACAGTACCTAATATGGTACCCGCAAGAGGTAGTTTCAGTAAACATCTATGAAATTTAATAAAATCTGATTTGTGCTTAGAACACTGGGATTGTGCTTAACTATATGGTTAGAGACCCAGGTATCCAACTGATAATAGAAAGGGAAAATGCAATACAGTAGTCCCCTTTATCCAAAGTTCTACCTTCTGTGGTTTCAGTTACGCGTGGTCAACCAGGGTCAGAAAATATTAAATGGAAAATTCCAGAAATAGACAATTCTTAAGTTTTAAATTGTGCCCTTTCTGACTAACATGATGAAATCTCCTGCTGTCCTGCTTCCTCCCGCAAAGGATGTAAATCATCCCTTTGTCCAGAGTGTCCATGCTGTATGCGTCACCTGCCCACTGGAATAGGAAAATACATAGTACATATAGGGTTAGGTGCGATCTGTGGTTTCAGGCATCCACTGAGGTTCTTGAAAGGTATCCCTCACGGATAAGGGGGGACTACTGTACCCTGAACAAGGTTAATTTTCGAACACATAGTCACACAGTGCTATCAAAGATACGTATAATTTATCCTTGATTATTGAAACATCTTTTGCAGATGGCAAGAAAGCACTTTAATATTTTCAAATTTTGAAGTGGCATCTATGACTAAGAAATTTTACAATTTTTAATAGCAATGCAAACTAAATCAAGGACAAACCTAATTGAAAAGCATACAAAATGTGTAAAACTATATAAATAAGTAAAAGAAGTTTAGGCTGATCAAACAGTCTTTTAGAAAAACTTTCTAAATATTCAAAGATCCGAGGAATTATCTATTTCCGAGGAAAGCTTTAAGTTACGTAGTTAATGTATTACCGACTGTAAAATTTCAGTGATATGAATTACAATTGCAAATATTGAGACAGATGATAAACGTTTAGTCTTCTATGAATTCATTCAGAGATTTAAATTGAGAAGAAGACTCTTAGTTTGGGATTATTGGCAATTTTTAATATATACCTGATTGTTAAAATAATGTACTACCTTCAGAGAACTGAAATCTCTCTCTTCAAAACTAATCTGTCTACCTTTAATAACAAAAAGCCATAGTGCACAATATGGCAGAAGTCTGAGAAACTAGTGAGATAATATCTGTAAAAGTTTGACTAGTAGTTTTATCTAAAACTAGTATAATGTTTTAATTAACAAAGTTATAAATAGCTGAACATTTAGAAAGTTACTGGGTGACACAAAAGAGAATTTCAAGTATTTTATTTATTGTAAATGTTATATTTGTATATGTATATATACACAAATCAAAAATTTTTTGAAAAACTAATGAAATTCAGTTAATAAAGCTATATTAAACTTTATTATGAAAGGTTATGAAAAATTTTTAAATGTTTAAAATTTTACCATCCATACCATTTCTTCCACAGTAAAAATTTATTTTTTAACACAGCTGTGATGATAACTCACAGATACCACACTAACTTTTTTGCATTTATCTAAGAAAACCTTTTCTTCCTTCCTTTCTCCAGGCCAATTTCTTTGAAAATATTAGTGTCAACAGAGACATGATCCAGCACACCTTAGAAAATGTAAACATTCTAAATTATATTAATAGCAAGCTTTGAAGTTTCAGATTTTAGACTTAAAGTGCTCATGAAATTCTAAAGTGGTTTTATGACAGCTCAGTTGATTGAAGATATTATAATTGCTCCTGCTTTATTATAGCCATGAATCAACAGCATATCTGATTAGTTCTATTAAATACTTTGTACCTTAAAGTTTAGAATTTATTTAAAATAATGCTATTGTAAAAGGATGTCATGCTTTAGCATGATTCATAATAGAATTTCTACTATTAAATTAAATTTTCTAACACTCCTTACCCATAGATAGATCCACAGAATCATTTATCCATAGAATGAACATAAAAATGGAAGAAAATAACTGTGTGTGAATACACACATACACACTTGTAGTGTACTTTGTACTTTCAAAATATTATGATATCTCAGTTGTGGGTTTTGTGCATTATTCTGAAGACAAAATATTCCTTTATTCATGTAGTGAATGAGATATGATGATTATTAGTCTGTGCAAGATGAAAAATATTAGATATTATTGGTAGCTAATCAGTCAGTTTTCATAGGTATTAGATTATCACATGTTCAACCAGAAACTACATTAATGATAACTAAGATCAAAATTCAGAATTACATTTAAGCACATATTGACAAAACAAACCAATACAATTTATTTGAGAATCATTACAATAACATGTTCAAAATAATATAAGCCATGTTAGGTGCATTAACCTCACACATGACTGAATAAGACTTATTCAGGGATGGAAATGGAAATGTTATTCTAAATTCCTTGGCTTTACTGCATTTCTTATATTTCTCAATTCCTACTATTCAATTTCTTGGTTTTCTGCGTTAGTAAAATTTGTTTTGCAGTATTGTTTTCTCATTCATATTGCAGCAGGAAGAAAGGCTTTTCAAGAAAATATCAGGAAAAAAAAGTATTAGCTCAGTTCCTTGAAGATATCTGCAAAAGGAAAGGTAAAAAAAAAATCAAGTGAGGGTACTATATAAAGGAGGTGCTGGAGCAGGACGAGCAGGAATGAAATGTCCCTGAGATGATACTTTTGGTTGTGGTGGAGGTGGCCTGTGAGGGGAAAAAAGACAGTTAATCGTGTGTTTCAATTCAATGAAATAATACTACATTCATTACAAGCCCAGCATAACACCATCCTTAACATCACTGACAATTCTTAAGGGTACATTATGGTCTGAGATTATTATTAATCTGATATGCAATGGTTAGGGGCCTCCAATCAGAGTCTAAAATGGAGTAACTACCTTAAATCAATGCTATTCTATAATTGACAATGTTGGATGAAGGTTCCGCTTTCTATGTTTTTAAAAAGAACAGTACACAAAATTGAAAAGATAAATTGTAAAAAATAAATGAGGACACTAGATGGATTAAGCACCTCTTGTGCTGTTAGGATTTAAGGGCAGCAAATCACTGCTAAGTGTAACCCTTACCTATATACATAGGGCTGAAATTCCAGCTCTCCGAAGCATAATATCCACTCTGAGAATTAAACCTGCTGTGACTTCTAGACCGTCCTTCTTTAATCTATGGATAGCCTTCCTTAAACTCTTCATCCAATTCTAGTATACCTGTACCCTAATAATACACTGTCTTGCTACTTATATATTCTTCTCTTGATGCTCAGTTGAACTTCAATGCCCTCTTATTGCATAAAAAGATTATACGTAAGACGCTACTCACTGTTGCAATTCAATTGTAATTTGAAGGACTTTTGAAGGGTAGGAGAGGCGAAATACATTTTATGTGAAGCAAAATATGGTAATAAATGTTCTCCTTTCTTGCTGTTTTCAACCCTTCCACTGAGTCTTTAATTTGAGTTCTTATTTTTCTCAGTTCTAGAATTTCCATTTGATTCTTTTTTTCAAGTTTTTAGTTCTGTGCTGAAATTCTCAATCTTGACTACTAATTCCATGACATAATCATCACAGTTATTTCAAAATCCATGTCTGATAACTTTATTAACTGGATACCCTCTGGATCTGTTTCCATGGTCTATTGCCTTTCTTGGTTTTAGTCACAATTTCTTTTCTTATATGTCTGGTTGATTCGGGGCCAAACATAAAACATTGTAGAAATAAGTTAAGGATCTAGTCCAACCCTACTCCCAGGTCCCACCACAAAGCCTGGGATGTTTGCAGGTCACTTCCTCCTTTGCAGGGCTCCAGTTTTTGTCCCATTAGCCCTGTGAGTTTGTGGAAAGCTGTCCTCGGCATGCTAGCCTCTCAGTTCTCACAGAATAGACAGACACAGCTAGGACAGAAAAATGGCCCCCAAACCTGGGATCATCTCCAGACTGCCTTCCTTTCCTGGACCTTAGCCCCACAACTCTTCATTTCCTTGGTGGTTCTCTGATGCCTTCAAAGACATATTTTCTTATATTGTCTAGCTTTTCTAGCTGTTCTTAATGGGAAGGCTGGTCCAACCCCTCCGGATTCCCATTGCTGGTTGTTTTAAAGGCCCTTGCTTCTGAATCTTACGTACACCAAAGCTGCACTAGCAGCTGATTGCCGTGCTCAAATTTCTTTAAAATTTCACTTTGACACCACACTAAAATGACAAAACTTACATAAAGTTCTTAAAAATTTTTCGGCAATTTGTGCTCTATCTAAACTGTTGTCAATAAATGCCTTGTCCTAAATTAAATTAAAATACAAGGGAGGGGCCAGCTCCATGGCTGAATGGTTAAGATCAAGTCCTCTGCTTAAGCAGCCCAGGGTTTCACTGGGTCAGATCCTGGGTGCAGGTGTGGCACCGCTGGTCAGGCCATGCTGAGGCGGCGTCCCACATGCCACAACTAGAAGGACTCACAACTAAAAACTATGCAGCTATGTACTGGGGGGACTTGGGAAAAGGAGAAAAAAACAATACAAGGGAAGATATTAGATATTAACCCTGGGTTTCATTCTGGTCAAGTAATCTAAGCTAATTCACTTCAGACCTTGATGGGAACTGCTGAGGTTGCTTGGCTACGTAAGTTGGTACTGGAAATCTGTTTGCATATACAGGCTAAAAAGGAAGAAAAGAGGTATTACCGCAATGCACTCATAAATATATTTTCTATACAGTCTATTTCCCATATAAAAGTAATTAACATATTTAAAATAAAAAAAATAGATGATTGACTTGTAATGCTGACATTTAAAAATGTTTCTCTTACTTAACATATCTTTGCCACTGAATGTGGAATACTTAATTCTTTAAAAGCTATATCTTTTAATTCAATAATACTTAGGTATTATAATCTTGGTCCTAATCAACTACCTTAGTTAAAAGGTAACATATTTCCTCTGTCAATATATGTTAAATAAAACATTCCAAAAATGTATTGCCAATTATAGTACCTAACTGGTACTACAAATACCACTAATCTACAACCCTTGATTTTGGAATTCGTCCTTGATGAGGTAGTTGACGTGAAGCTTTGCAACAAGTGAGACTCTATAACATGGCCTCAAATAAGAAGTAAAAGTAAGAATATTTTTCACATATCACATTACAATAGGAAAAGTTAGGGAAAACCAGAAGGAATTACTAAATCACTAAATGGATTGTTGGTTTTTTTGTTGTTGAGCTGTATGAGTTCTTTGTACATTTTGGATATTAACACCTTATCTGATACATGGTTTGGAAAAATCTTCTCCCAATTCTTAGGCTGTCTTTTCATTTTGTTGATGGTTTCCTTTGCTGTGCAGAAGCTTTTTAGTTTGATATAGTCCCATTTGTTCATTTTTTCTTTTGTTTCCCTTGACCGGTCAGACACGGAACTTGAAAATATGCTGCTCAGACCAATGTCAAAGAACGTGCTGCCTGTGTTTTCTTCTATAAGTCTCATGGTTTCGGGTCTTACATTCAAGTCTTTAATCCATTTTGAGTTGATTTTTGTACATCGTGTAAGGGAATGGTCTACTTTCATTCTTTTGCATGTGGCTGTCCAGTTTTCCCAACACCATTTATTGAAGAGACTCTCCTTTCTCCATCGTATGCTCTTAGCTCCCTTGTCAAATATTGGCTGTCCATAAATGTATGGGTTTACTTCTGGGCTCTCAAATTTGTTCCATTGATCTGTGTGTCTGTTTCTGTGCCAGTACCATGCTATTTTGGTCACTATGGCTTTGTAGTATAATTTGAAATCAAGGAGTGTGATGCCTCCAGCTTTGTTATTTTTTCTCACGACGCCTTTGGCTATTCGGGGTCTTCTGTTGTTCCATATAAATTTTAGGATTCTATGTTCTATTTCTGTAAAAAATGTTGGAACTTTGATAGGGATCGCGTTGAATCTATAGATTGCTTTAGGATGTATGGACATTTTAACGATATTAATTCTTCCAATCCAAGACCACAGAATATCTTTCCATTTCTTTGTGTCTTCTTCAATTTCTTTCAACAGTGTTTTATAGTTTTTGGTGTACAGATCTTTCACCTCTTTGGTTAAGTTTATTCCTAGATATTTTATTCTTTTTGATGGAATTGTAAATGGGATTGAATTCTTAATTTATCTTTCTGCTACTCCATTCTTAGTGTATAGAAAGGCAACCGATTTTTGTACATTGATTTTGTATCCCATGACTTGACTGTATGCCTTTATTATTTCTAAAAGTTTTTTACTGGACTCTTTAGGGTTCTGTAGATATAAAATCATGTCGTCTGCGAATAGTGACAATTTCACTTCTTCTTTTCCAATGTGGATCACTTTTATTTCTTTTTCTTGCCTGATTGCTCTGGCTAGGACTTCCAATACTACATTAAATAAGAGTGGTGACAGTGGGCATGCTTGTCTGGTTCCTATTCTTAGAGGTATACTTTCAGTTTTTCTCCATTGAGAATGATATTTGCTGAGGGTTTGTCATATATGGCCTTTATTATGTTGAGGTATTTTCCTTCATATACCCATTTTATTTAGAGTTTTTGTCATAAATGGATGCTGTATCATGTCAAATGCTTTCTCTGCATCTATTGAGATGATCATGTGATTTTTAATCTTCATTTTGTTAATGTGGTGTATCACATTGATAGATTTGCGGATGTTGAACCATCCATGCCTCCCTGGAATGAAACCCACTTGATCATCATGTATGACCTTTTTAATGTATTGTTGTATTCAATTTGCTAGTATTTTTTTTGAGGAGTTTTGCATCAATGTTCATTAATTATATCGGTCTGCAATTTTCTTTTTTTGTGTTGTCCTTGTCTGGTTTTGGTATCAGGATAATGTTGGCTTCACAGAAGGAGTTAGGAAGCCTCCCCTCCTCTTCATTTTTTTGGAAGAGTTTGAGAAGGATAGGTATTTAGTCTTCTTTGAATGTTTGGTAGAATTCACCAGGGAAACTATCTGGTCCTGGATTTTTATTTTTTGGGAGGTTTTTTGATTGCTGTTTCAATCTCCTTATTGGTGATCGGTCTATTCAAATTTTCTACATCTTCTTGGTCCAGTTTTGGAAGGTTGTATGTTTCTAAGAATTTATCCATTTCTGCTAGATTATTCAATTTGTTGGCGTATAGCTTTTGAAAGTATTCTCTTATTATCTTTTGAATTTCTGAGGTGTCCGTTGTAATCTCTCCTCTCTCATTTCTGATTTTATTTATTTGAGCCTTCTCTATTTTTGTTCTTGGTGAGTCTAGCGAAGGGTTTGTCAATTTTGTTTCTCTTTTCGAAGAACCAGCCGTTGGTTTCATTAATCTTTTCTATTGTTTTTTTAATCTCTATTTCATTTATTTCTGTTCTGATTTTTATTATTTCCTTCCTTCTGCTGATTTGGGGCTTGTTTGTTGTTCTTTTTCCAGTACCTTTAGGTGCACTTTTAGATTGTCTACTTGGGATTTTTCTTTTTTGTTGAGGTAGGCGTGAATTGCTATAAACTTCCCTTGTAGAACCGCTTTTGCTGTATCGCACAGATTTTGAAATGTCGTGTTTTCATTTTCATTTGTCTCCAAGAATTTTTTGATTTCTTCTTTGATTTCTTCATTCACTCAATCATTGTTCAGTAGCATTTTGTTCAATCTCCACATTTTTTTGGCTTCTCTGGTTTTCTTTCTGTAGTTGATTTCCAGTTTCATACCTTTGTCATCAAAAAAGATGCATGGTATTATTTCAATTTTCTTAAATTTATTGAGACTTGTTTTGTTACCTAATATGTGATCAATCCTGGAGAATGATCCATGGGCATTTGAAAAGAATGTGTATTCTGTGGTTTTTGGATGGAATGTTCTGTATATATCTTCTAAGTCCATCCGGTCTAATGTGTCCTTTAAGGTCAGTGTTTCCTTATTGATCTTCTGTTTGGATGATCTATCCATTGGTGTAAATGGAGTGTTAAAGTCACCTACTATTATTGTTTTACTATCTGTTTCTCCTCTTATGTCTTTTAATAATTGCTTTATATATTTAGGTGCTCCTATGTTGGGTGCATAGATATTTACAAGTGTTATATTTTCTTGTTGGATTGTTCCCTTTATCATTATGCAGTGCCAATCTTTGTCTCTTATTACAGTTTTTGATTTAAAGTCTATTTTGTTGGATATAAGTATTGCTACCCCCACTTTCTTTTCTTTGCCATTTGCATGGAATATCTTTTTCCATCCTTTCACTTTCAGTTTGTGAGTGTCTGTAGGTCTGAAGTGTGTCTCTTGTATGCAGCATATACATGGAGCTTGTTTTTTTTATCCAATTGGCCAGCCTATGGCATTTGATTGGAACATTTAGTCCATTGATATTTAAAGTAGCTATTGATAAATATGTATTTATTGCCATTTTGTCACGTTTCTTTTTTCTGGGCCTTTTAGTATTTCTTCTCTGTTCCTTTCTTTTTCTCTTGCTCTCTTCCCTTTTGGTTTGATGGCTATCTTTAGTAATATGTTTACTTTCTTTTGTTTTACTTTTTGTCCTGCTTGTTATAGGTTTCTGATTTGTGGGTACCATGAGGATCCTATTTAATATACTATGCATATAACAGTCTATGTTGAGTTGATAGACTCTTTAGCTTGACCTCTTTCTAAAAGCTCTACTTTTTCACTCCCCTCCTCCCACATTATGTGTTTTTCACATCTTATATAGTCTTTTGTTTAGTGTGTGCCTATCCCTTACCCTCGTATCATTGAAATGGGTGATTTTAGTACATTTGTCTTTTAACCTTCATATTATCTTCACAGGTGGTTGATCTGCTGCCTTTACTATATTTTTACCTTACAAGTAATTTTATTGCCTGTTTTTTGTTGTTGTTGTTGTTTTGGGGTTTTTATGATTATTTTTTTAATCTCTATTTGTGGTCATTGATTTCCCACTTAAATAAGTCCCTTCAGCATTTCTTGTAGAACTGGTTTCTTGGTTATGAACTCCTTTAATTTTTGTTTGTCTGGGGACCTCTTTATCTCTCCTTCTATTCTGAATGACAACCTTGATGGATAGAGTATTCTTGGCTGTAGGTTTTTTCCTTTTAGCACTTTACATATGTCATGCCATTGTCTTCTCACCTGTAGGGTCTCAACTAAGAAGTCCACTGACAGCCTGATGGGCTTCCCTTTATATGTCACTTGTGGCCTTTCTCTTGCTGCTTTTAGGATTCTCTCTTTGTCTTTAATTTTGGACATTTGGATTGTAATATGTCTTGGTGTGGGTGTCTTTGGGCTTCTCTTGTTTGGAGCTCTCTGTGCTTCCTGAACTTGGATGTCTGTTTCCTTCCTCAGGTGAGGAAAATTTTCCTCTATTATTTCTACAAATAAATTTTCTGCCCCTTTGTCTCTCTCTTCTCCTTTTATTCTTTGAAAATTATAACATTTGAGTTTCAAAATCCAAAAACAAGCATCTTATAATAGCTTGTCAAAACAGCATTATAGGTACACCATATGTGTTTTAACTCCTTTATTAACTTTCAAAATGTGATATAATTACTGAAGAGAAGGGAAGAAAATGCACACTACAGCAATTCCTGCAGCAAACTTTGGATCACATGCCATTCCATGATATGCTGCTCCCACTTAATCAAGATAACTAATAACGAATAGTTGTGAAGTTTAATCAATTTAGATAACCAATAACT